TCATTTCCATCCCAGACTGCTTGACTATATAGCAATGCTTGTGAGAAAAGTGGGGGAAATGTCTCTTTAAAGTTTTTTTTCCCAGCCTAAGTTGCTTCCTCCTCCCTGTGTCTATTTGCATAGCCAATAGTTCCTCAGCTCTCGAGCGAGGCTGCACGATTGTTACTGGGCAGACTTCTTCGATACCTCTCCACCTCTCTCTCTCTCTCTCTCTCTCTCTCTCTCCTCCTCTTCTCTCTCTCTCTATCTCTCTCTCTCTCTCTATCTCTCTCTCTCTCTCTCTCTCTCTCTCTCTCTCTCTCTCTCTCTCTCTCTCTCTCTCTCTCTCTCTCTCTCTTCCTCTCTCTCTCTCTCGACTGTCATCATCACGTTATTCATGTTCGGTCAGAAAAGATGCTTCAAATTACTCTGTGCAATAAAAGTTTCTTATGGTGAAACACTAAGATTGGCACATCCGCACTTCCACTGCATCATGGGTAGTTACACTTTTCTAGAATGTTTCTTGAAACTACGATTCAACTTCACAAAATGCCTCATTCGTCAAGAAAATGTGCAACACTTTCAAGTTAGTAAGAAACAAATTGAAATGGCAGGTGCTTTCCGTTGAAAGAAGTGATATTCACTCTATAACAATACAATTCGTATTAGATAAGAACGTCTTTCACTTCATTCAACAACAAGAATATTCTGAAATGATCCTGTTTACATACAGCTAAAATAAGAAAGAAAATAAATGATGAAAACTAGGGGATGCGCTATTTCTGATCAAATTGACGACTTATCAAAGTTTGAAAGAAGTCACAAAGTAAAGCTGCAGGTGCCTCCAGCTCACCACCATGACCAATATCAGAAATGCACGTTTGCTTTGATACCGGAAGTAAGTAATTGAAGGTTAATACAAATAAATAAATAAATATAAAAAAATCCTGAAAATTAGCAGTAGGTCCATTCAACGTCACCAGCAGCAGCACACTGCAACATGTCCATGTGACCATGTCTGAGTCGAGTTAAATGCCAGCTGGTTTAAAGGGTAAATCCACACTTTAGAGTGATTTTCAATCTTTAAACAAGGCTCATTATATAACTTAGGAACTTGGAAGGATTCTAAACAGGGTCCATTCCCCTTTAGCAAACACTTTAAGATAATAACTAGTGGAGGCTGAACCCTGAACGCAGCAGCTCCAGCAGCGGAACAGTGACGCCAGCGGTGCTCAGAGAGAGACCCAGCAGCAGTTGGCCCCCGGAAGCTTTCAATTACCATATCTCAATAGAATCGGAACACACCCCAAAGGTTAAAGACTGTGAGAAGTTCGGACAGTAAAGTCTACATGTAACGTTAAGGGAACAGTCGATACAAACTGAAGTTTGACCACCTCTCTGCGTTGCACCCTGCACGAAATATTTGTCGGGTACATTTATTTTAATGCAGTTTTGATGTTTTAAAACTATTTTTCTTTAATTAATTGTATGAAAAATCATCCAGAGAATCGCGGAAAGCTTACTTCTATGCAGCGTGTGTTATTTCCTGGAAACCAGTGACAGGACCTGCCTTCACCATGCTTTGTTTCAGTCCCTGTACATTCCAGAAAATCCCCGACGTTATATTTGATCAAAAACAAGCACACATATTAACGCCTACTTCACATTTTTCCACGTTTCTTTAAATAACAATAATAGAATAAAATAAAAGAGTAATCACTGTGGTCACTTTTTGCAGTGAGGAGCGATCAGGGACTCTTCATCACTGTTTAAATGCCCGTTAGCAGCAGGCAGCACCCCGGGGTGTCTGACGGGGTGACTGACTATTTTTCTTATTATTTTACCGACATCAAAATGGGAATTATGACGCTAAGAAAACGTCCCGCATGACTCGAGAAAGGTGTCGAAGGGGAATTTGGCAGGCTCCTATCAGAGGAGGAAGAGCAGTGAGATGACATCAGCAGGTCTCATTGTGTTTGTTTGTTAGCTAAACACACACCGTGGCAACCTGAACAGCATGCCTTTTAAATAGCATGTGAAAGGTCTATTTTCTACGGATTTGTCAAGCCCTTTACAGCCTGTTTAGGCAATGTAAACAATTATTTTACATTATTTTTTATTAGAAAAAAAACAATGCACAAATAATGCATTTGTAAGTAATTAATGTACACACTAAATGTTAAATCTCTTGTAAAAATAAATGTGATCATGTAAAACAGGTTATCTTGTTTTATAATTAGGCTACATGTCCATCAACCTTAAAGTTAAAGTTTACAATAATAGATATCAAGATCATTATTTGTTTTAAAAAGGGTTTTCATACTAGCCTAACTAGTTTAAATAGATAAGATCTGTTGAGGTATGTGTAAATAAAATACCTCCAACACAATCTAAAAACAACACACCTGCATCAGCAGGTCAGCAAGCAAGCAGGAAATGCACCTTTACATACAATGACATTCAATGAAATTAAATAAAAGCATTACAATTATGTTCTTATTATTTGACATGATCCAACTGTTCATCATGTTTCTTCTGAGCTTTGAAAGAAAAATAAATATTAAACAAATCTCATCTGACAAAGTGACTTTGGTGGTTTTATGTGAAATTCCACCTGTGTCTATTTTGAATTGTTTGTGAATGATTTAAAAAAGTCATGTTCAAACTGTTTATATATTTCATCCACATTTTGTATATGATTCATTTTAAGGATAATTATTGGGACAATTTGTATAGAGGTAAACACTAAGTATACAAGTTTACTGGTCAATGGTTGAACAACTGACTTATTTCCTGAAATTAATTCAGAGATTTAATTATTTGTGATAAAACCACATACATGAAATGAAACATTGTATGCTTAAAATTCAAATGAGCTCGTTTCTTAATTTTCTGGATAATAAATCTGCTTGAATTCTGTTTTGTTTAGATTATATGAACATATAAAATGTATTATTATTGAATTAAAAAATAGAACACAGAGAGGAATGTTAACAAAGGTGTAATTCGGGAGAGGAAACACCATTTTTTGTATAAATCACTTTGATTTCCCTTTTTAAAATATGTCTTCATGTGTAGAGTTATAACACATGTATTTATAGTGTAACACAAGACAGCAGTTTAGGAGGAAAACAGTACATTCCAGCAGTAAAGCAGCAGGTGTGTCTCCAACAGCAATGACAGGCACTTCCTGCAAACTCCTCCCTTTCTGCTTCAACCAACATTCATCTATTAACTACAGCTCTCAGGTCGCCTCCTGCATATGAATAAAGATCAGGAAACATGTCTACATCTCAACAACAGCAACAATCACAGGTTCTTTATAACAAGCATTGTGACGTTTAATAAAACTCTAAGGAAGAGCACATCGTTTTCTAGTGCTCTACATGCTCCTAAAGTGATCTTGAGAAGCACTGTCTGATGGCAACTATTGAATCACAATGTTGTTCACCTGAAAACATCACTCCATTCACTAGAATTTGTTTATCATGCCCACATTTCCCCATTATTGCCGTATTTTTCTGTGGTTGAGTAATTGCAGATGTGTGTGCCAAACAACAACAATACTGAGAAAACCTACTCATCCATGATTCAAAAAACACCAGACTGCATGCAAAACTTAACTGGAGCTCCAACCGGACTGTTTGGCACATCACAAACTGTTTAAAATGTAGACGTGCAAAAACATTTTGCGCGGGTTGTGTGTTAGAATGCTTCATTGTCTTCTGCATGTCACTAATCCATGAAACACAGTTGGAAAACACAAAACCGGTAATTGTTAAGGTTTTCTACACCCATATTTTAAACTGTGTAGTCAGAATCTAAATAATCACACAACCTTAATGCATCAACAACCATTTACATGCAGAACCAACAGGAATTTGGGCACTGCACCAATAACATCATTGAAACATTTTTCATACATATTTTGTCATTCAAGATGGAAATATGTCAAAAAACTGCAAAAAAGTTAAGAATTGTCTCTCAAATACGAGAGAAATACCTGTCCATCAATCAGCTGATATGATAAATACAACCTTCTCTCGATAGCAATGGATGCATCTTAGTTCATGCAGTGTTAGGAGAATGATAGTGTATGATGTGAGAGTTTCCAGCAGCTTGTCCCTGACACATCCACTAACCACCTGTGGCATTCCCCCCCCATGACTGGATGCTACAACAATGTAGCTCTGGCACCGAGCGCTCGCCCTGCAGACTTCCCTCAGACTCCTTCAGAAATTCTTCATTCAAACATGTCCTCCCGAAATTCTTTAAGACATGCCCTTATCTCATTTGCTGGAAAAGAAACAAAGGGGCAGTGCAAAGATAAACACAAATTGAAAGAAGAAAGCCTTAATTGCTGACACCTTTAGGACAACATGTTGATGAGCACGAGGCGGCAGGTTGAAAGAAGACATCTACCTCATGGAGATGGATTCAGAGCATCTGGTAAAAATGCATTAAACTGCCTTCAACAGCAGCGATTGATTTCTTTAATCTGTGTGATATACTCTTACATTAAGCTAAAAGCCTTGAATTGACAGACCTGCTTTATGCTTGACACACCATCAGAGATTTTGGGCGTGAATGACAAAACTGATGGCATGTGTGTCATTTTCTGACAAATCAGTTGAGACTACGTAAAAGAGATCCAAGGAAGAAATGCCATGGGACGATAAAGAATCAGTAGGAAATAACATTTACCTAAAGCATTTAGTAGCTTTGGTAGTAGCTGTATCCTTCTGCGCAAATGCCAAAACCATTTCTACGTTTATCAGGAATAACTTGTCTCTTTTTTCACATAACAATACAACACAAACAACATCATAGTTTGCTTATCGTACCCTAAATCCTCGTGGGAGGCGCGTGGCTGGAACAATAAGGTCTGGTAGCCCTGGCCAAACCTTCAGTTAACACAGAAACAAACGTCTGGTATTCATTTACCTTTCTTCTACCCCTCCACCCCATTCCTTCCTCCCTGCTTCCATCCCTCCCCTGTCTCACATGCTTGACCCTTTCTTTTGAACCTCACCAACAACCTTTCATGTGGTCATCAAATCTGGGGCCAAATGAGCAGATAGAGAGGTGGGATTGGAGCACCGGCTGCTAAATAATGTCAATATTTCCTTGCCCTAACAGAGGATAAACTGCTTTCTCACACTTTTTTTTCTCTCCACATAACAGCAACAGTGAAGGCTGCCTCGCTGCACACAGAGCGGCCGAGCGGCTCAGCTGCTGCTGCTGCTGTCTCTTCCCCTCCAGCTCCTCCAGGACTTTCCCATGTTCATATCACTAGCCCTTGACTTTGTCACTCATGCAACAGCTGCTTGCTGATACCACAGCACAACTCCAGCCTATTACTCTCCCTTCTCTCACTGCGCACACCAACAACAAAGGCATTGTTAATCCAGCCGAGTCCTTGGTGCAGAATGCAAGGACTTCTTGGGAGAGGTTGTGAACGTCAAGACAATAACTACATTTTTGCAGGAAAAAATCTCCCCAGATTGTTTGAAAATGGTGTCTCTTTGTGCTTTGGGAGAATCAACATCCTGAAGACTTCCACCTGGAATCACAACAAGCTGCTCAGACTAAAACACACTGAGCTTGAGGTCAAAGGAATCTCACGGCTGGGCTTACCAAACAAAAACGTTCTGGCATCTGAATAGTGGCACCGATCAGAACATCAACTTATCTCAAAACAAATCATTCCAAGAAAATCCAAGTTGTTGACCAACACTGCTACGATTTTTTGTTCGTTGATTTAATCGACAGATCTATAAAATTGAGTTTCTCCAAAAAGTAACATGCAATAAATATTTAAATATTTACTTTAAATATTGTGTTTGCCAGAGGTTTGCTTGGAAATAAGTCACGAAGAATGAAAAATACATAAAAAAGGGCTGAAGAAATCTTAGTCTCAAAGCCAAAAAGAAAAAGAATTCGACTAAAAGGGGGCAGCTCTATTTGAATTAAAGTGATATGAGCAACCCAAAGCAACACAGTATATGCTTTGAGAAACATAGCTACACAGTTAAGTGCGTGCAAAGTGATCGAGCTGCGGAATAACCCAATAACTCAAGCCATTCATGCAAATCTTGTTTAATCTATGAATCACATACCACTCCCAATAATGGACAAAAGGAAAGCTGCCTGTGTACATTGAGTGTGTCAAACAGCCACAGAGGTGATGCAAAGTTAACCATACAGTTCCCGAAATAACCCAAAAAGAAAAATAAACCCCCAACAACCAAATATAGTGAACACCTGAAGAAACCATGAGCGCTGCTACTGTTGCTCTTGTTTCCTTATCTCTCCTGCAGATGTGACAGATGGCACAATGCACACAGATGCATCACAGATCTGCTGTCACTAATAATAAACACTGTGGGATGTTTTTTTGGGGGCAGGTGATAAAACCTGATCATTTGATAGTCATATAATTAGCGTCCCAGGAGAGGAAATGTATCCAAGAGGAGCTGATTACAACATATTTTCACTCTAGTGTTTCCATGCTTTTGTCAAAGGATTTCACGCAGCACAAAGAGAAACTCAGGTTTCATACTTTAAGGCTCTCCTGAGAGATTAGAGAAATGTGACTATGCTGAATCTAAGATCTGTATAATGCAGATGTAATGTGCAGTCCATACAGTCCAGACATCAACTCATAGTTTCAGAGTAAATTCTTTAGCCAACTTTGTTTGTGTTTATCTTCCATTAATTATTATCCTTCCGTTCTCTTTGTGGTGTGTACAATAGAAACACTGTGTTTTGCTTCAAATTGAAATCCCAACAACTCAATAAAGAAAATTAAACACACAATGTGTGCTCTGCTCTGCGATACAAATATTAAAGGGAACCTATGCTCACGGTTCATATGTTGTGTCTCTACTGGGACATGTCTCCATGCTTTACTGTTCAAAAAGCTCTTTATTTTTCTCATACTGCCTGTGCTGCAGCACCTCTTTTCACCCTCTGTCTGAAACCAGAGCCCAGTCTGCTCTGATTGGTTAGCTGGCTGGCTCTGTTGTGACTGGTCAATCACGTTCAATGTGTACGAGCACTAATACAAGCACACATTTTCCAACGTGATGTCACTATGTTACGGAAGTAAAAAAGGACTACAATCAAGGCATTTCAGGCACGGAAAATGTGTGGGAGAGAAACTCCCTCTGAAGGGAACACCCCCAAAGCATAACAGGACCCCTTCAATAAAGAACTCCCTCAGAGAGAAGATGCATTACCAGCCAATGAGAAATACCTTAAAAATGACAGATAAAACACACACACACACACACACACACACACACACACACACACACACACACACACACACACACACACACACACACACACACACACACACACACACACCACACACACACACACACACACACACACACACACACACACACACACACACACACACACACACACACACACACACACACCACACACACACACACACACACACACACACACACACACACACACACACACACACACACACACACACACACACACTCGGTCTGATCGTCTTAGTGATCAGTGATAGAGACAAATGAGCCCACCCAGCGGCTCCCCTGGCAGACGTGCAGCTTCATTACAGCACCACACATGAATGTGCGCCATCCTCCCCACTAGCCCGCAATAATCTGATCCTTTTGGGAAACTGAGGTGTTGGACTGTAATTTATCGGCCGTATCTTTCAAGTCTCTCCCTGGGCTCCGCTGGTGGCGTCAGCCTCTGAGCCACTGTGTGTGTTTAACGGCTACATGTGTCGCTCCCTATCTCGCACTCCGAGTGGCACAAAGGTAAAAGGAAGCTTAACAGCCTGGGAAAAAGTTGAACAGTGTGAAATTACCTTGATCCAAAGATTCCTGCCACATACCAGCCCAATGAACCCATAACAGAGCAGGCACTCAGTCAGAGAGCCCTGCCTGCAGGGAACAGCTGAGACATTACAGAGGGGAGGGAGGTGGGAGGGAGAGGGGAGGGGGGGGGTGCATATGGCGAAAGAAAGAAAGAGAAATGGGAGCAGGAAAGAGGCCCACCTCCAGTCATCTCCAGTCTACAGTCAGGCGTAGGGGTCAGAGTATCTAATGTACATCCCATGATAACGCTGGACAAGTGCGAGGTGGGGTACCACTCTCTGTCGGGGAGGCTCTGCGCTCAGAGGCTCCTTTCGGGGGGTTCTGAGAAGAGCAGCTGTGGGCTTCATGATGTTAACAAAATATAGTGGAAAAATGAGATGACAATTCTTGGAATTGATTCTAAGTTGACAATAAATCCTCAATGAGTCAGTCAGCCTGGAATAAAAGCTTGTTGACAAAACTTAAAAATCCACGCAAATTGCAATAGCTTTTATTTCAAAGGAAGAACAGAAAACATTCTGCAAACAATGTAGGCTTTTTGATGTGAGTGCATTTCAAATAATGTATTTCGATGGATTAAGATGTTTGTTGACCTACTTGTCTCGGAATTTCTTTGATGGTCAATCATCTACAGTAAATCAAAGCATTGACATTGTTTCACTTCACAAACTTGAACTGGCAGTGTAAAGAATGATTTCTACTTGATTTAGTAGAAATCAAGTAGAAATCACTTAAAAAAGTTCCCATTAAAGTTCTTCATTCTAATCTCCTTTACCATAGGCTACAGCACTTTCATTCAATGAAGGTTTAAACCCTGCAGCGGTTAAAGCGAAAATTGTGATGCAGTAACATCATTCTCACTTTATTTGATGTGTCTTTTATTTATGCAAACATGTAATAATAAAGAAATAATAATATCAAAAATCTATCCTAAATTGTAATAAACATTAGTGGTTACTTAAAATAACAAAAACATCTTGCAATCATCACACACTTGTTTCCTCTTAACTTTATTAGGTTAATGCCCAGTTAGATGAAAATGTAATTAGTTCTCCATATTCTAACAATACATATAGATCCTTTCACAGTCTACTTCCTGTTGCATGTATGTGAAGGACTTCAGGAAGTAGTCATAGACCAAAGCTGTTGCCAAGCAATGCAAATATGTGACATATTAACAACAAAGTAACAAAAGTAAAAAATAAGGATCAAAATAGAGTCAACTGAAAATAAAAGAGGTCTCATAAAACATCTACAGATTTACAATAAAATGGGAAAAATGTTTTCGTTTATTTTAATTAAATTAGCCTTTTTTAATTTGATCAAATATGTTTACTTTTCACTTTAGTTAACGATAGATACATTTACTTATTATTGAATATTTAATAGTATCTGTATGCATTTGTAGAATATATTTTCTTATTATTCAAAATGAGGAACCATTGGTTGGATGCTCACACCAACGGATAAAGCCCAAATCAAACGATGAAATTGAATGTTTCAGAGAATGTCTGTCCTGTGACAATGTTTGGGTTTATCTGGGAAATAAAGGCCATCCTACTGTAGGTCTGAAACCATTCGTGTGAATGATGGCAGAGGGAGGTTGGTGTGATTCTCTCAGACACAACAATGGAAGGATACATTTTGTGTTGGCAGAGGAATCAAACAGCCCCGCTGTTTCCCTGAATTTTAGTCACTGCCTTTATATGTTTACATCCCATGGCATTCTAATACAACTTATCACATGGCACACAAATCACTTATTACTGAATGTAACCATACTTCCTGAGAAAGCTAATTAGCAATGCAAATATTTGACGATTCAAATTGGGGAGATAAAAAAATGAAAATTATTTTATTTGTCATTAGTAGGAGCTGAATTATCCACAGAGATCACTTCATAAATCAGTATTTTTGTAAATATTGCAAGAGAATAGGAAACTAATTAATATGATAATTCAGTTTGATCTGTTTTTACATTTTTCAATATCTTCGGTTTCCCTTTCACAAATGAATATGTGTTACGCATTGTTTGCATAGGCTACTGTATACAAAACTTAAGAGATTAAAACAATTATGTTTGATTTGATGGTCAAAGTCATTTTCTAAATTCAAAATGTTTCTTTCTTCAATCATCATTTTATTGGAAGAATTGTGAGAAAATCCGAATCCAATCATGATTTGGGTGAATTGCTACACAGTAGACATTCATCTGTGAACAAGAGAGAAGAAAAAAACAACATTTGTTATTATTTAATATTTAAAATGTTCTATGTTTAATTGTAAAGGAAAACCCACTTTTAAGTAACTGTGTCAAATTCTGTTTATTTACAGTTGTGGAAAATGTAGTCAGATTCTTTACTTGAGTAAAAGTATTGCATTGAGAATGGTACTAGGAACATTTACTTAAGGTATTTGGATTCAAAGTATTGATTGTAGAAAAAACTAAGAAAATATGAATATGAAATACTTTTAAATAGTTTGAAGCAAAAGCAGAACATCTTCACATTCAAGAAGCTGGAAGTGTGACATCTTTTTTAACATGAACATTCTTAGCAACATTGCTGCCAATACATTTTCTGTGAACCCACTTTTGGTTTTAGTTACTTAAATATAATATTGGATGGTTTAATCTATTCCAAATAATAATCATTTTAGTTTCTCTTTAGTGTTGTGTACTTATAAAATAACTTGTAAATAATGTTTCCAAAATGTGGGTAGAAGTATAAAGTAGTAATACATGATAAAATACTCCTGTAAAGTAAAAGTTCCACACACTTGTACTTAAGTACAGTATTTCAACTAAATGTACTAAGTTACTTTCATCCAATGTGTTCATATTCATTGCAGTGTTGAGTCATTCATGAAGAGAAGTATTGAAAGATAAAGTGAAGTTAAGATAAGAAGAAGGAAAACCGCGCTGGTAATTATGTTTCTTTGTTTATACATTTTTTTTTCATCCAACAAAAGTTTTTAAAACACAATTGAACATGTTGTCCTCCCCCATTATCATTAAGGGGAATCCACTTCTGCAAATGACACTTCCTGGGTGAATCATAGAGCTGAACAACGTGGCATTAAGTAACGAAAACCCTGAAGACAGCTGGAGGAGGAAAACTCGTTTCAGGGTCAGAATGGAGCAGTTCCTGTGTTTGCTGGTTGCACCTGTTTGTTGTGATGAGTTTATTCTTATCAGAATATCTGCTGCGCCTCTGCAGACGCTCTGGGTTTGGAAGTGTGACAATTGTTACACTTCCAATTAATGAAAGCTGCTACGAGTGTGTGCTGGAGAGACTGACTCTCACAGCGCCGGATACGAGCGGCGGTGCACTTTGTGCCACATGTAGAGCGGTGTAACCTGAGAGCTGATGGAGAGTGTGCCATCAGGTTCATCAGGTGCAGAGCCCTTCTGCTGCAGCACTGTCACGCATTGTCAAATTCACTGCCGTTATACGTGCAAACACGTACATATGTCATTATGCACAATGCACAGACTCACTGTCTGCTGCATACAAACACAGAGTGACAAACAATTATTGACTTTGATTAATTTATTTTCACCACTGTATTACATTTTTTGTTTAATGACAACAAGCTCTACTTGTTCAAAGCAGATCAGTTATGCACAAGGATGTGTGTACTACAGACCATGTTTATTATTGTACCCCAATATTTAAACAATATCCAACATTAGCTGAATCAGAATAATAAGGAGCCATTAATGCATGGGTGTCACTTTGTTAGTAAAAGTGGTGGGGAAAATGTTTTCAGATTTAAAAACAACTACTGCATTTAACACCCCCTGCAAACAATACATACATATTTATATACGTATACAGTGTGCTGTATATACATATATATGACAACTAGTGCAGTAACTACAAAGTGATTCTCTATTCAGTAATATTAAACGTGGGGTTACCAGAAATACACCCAGGGAGTGAGAACAGTCCCTCCAGATTGCACATGTTTTATTGTGCAGCCTTTCTAATTCTTAGTGCACACTATTTTCTGAACATTTTCAAGTCGTGGGGACAAAATTGGCCATTTCCAACAGTGGAGGGGACATGTCCCCAGCGTCCAGTTAACTTGGTACTAGAAGTTGAAAAAACAAAGTTGTACATGTTGAACCAACTTGATTAACACATTTTTAAGAACTCAATCAAATAAGTTTAACCAAAATCTTAAGTTATCTTAACTAATATTTTCTAGTCCAAATAACATGACACATGCAGTTGAGTCAACAGACTACAAGTTGTATCAACTAATGTATTGAAGTGTAATAGACTTGACAGTAAATGTGGAATCAACTTGACACAACTTAACTCAGTCAAAGCAACAAGATGACTTGACTTAGTCAAGTTGAGTCAACAAATCATTTTTAACAGTGGAGTGTAAATGCCTCCTATGCATTAACGCTCTGGCTGAGACTTGTCTTCCTAGCACACCTAGATTCAGAGTTTATTTGCCTGATGTTTGTAGAATCAACCCTTCTAGTCTTCGTGTTCCCCCCCTTACTTTGGTGTTCGCGGTCAAATTTGACCGGTCCGGTTTTAACTGCTATTACATTAATACAAAAACCATTAATCATCACCAAATGTCATTTAACACCCTTTCAAACTGTAAATATTGTATCAGACTACTGGTATACACAGTGGCGGCCAGCCCATAGGGGCACTAGGGGCGCCGCCCCACCTCTTCCCACATAAAAAACAAAAATATTTTTTTTTCATTTTTATTTTTAATGAACAAGGTAAATATTATATAATTGGTATCAGTAAAATGTATAATCTACAATAATATCTCGTTTAAAATTGTGTTACGATGTCTAAAGTTACTGATAAGTCACATGTTTCCTGCCTGCATGGCCTTGCCCGTGTATCATTACCCTCTCTCGTCTGGGTGCTAAGAGAGGAGCCCTCAACCAGTGCAGCAGCAGCCACTAGCAGCTGACTGTTGCTATCTGTAAACTATATCTCCGAAACATAATTTCAGCCAATCAGCGTCGTCAAATCTGATGATCACCGGGCGCCAATGTCAGCGCCCGGTGCAGGGTTATGGCTAGAAAGGATCCGTCTTGTGTAAAACTCTCGCGAGAGTTTGCGAGTCACGTGGCTGAATGTTTACATTTGACAGGCAGCCTTTCAGTTACGATCGTTAATTAGTGGTCCACAGCAAATGATGGTGAGAAGCTAAACTATCTATTAATTATGTAAATTACAGGGAGTGTGATTGTAACTGTGTGTGTGACTAGCTGGATGCAAACAGGTAAACGCTGTCTTTTGGTTCTCATGCTTGCTCTTCAAACAGCCGGGGACAGATACCATGTGCCTGTGATAAATAAACACACACCCACACACACACACAACACACACACACACACACACACACACACACACACACACACACACACACACACACCACACACACACACACACACACCACACACACACACACACACACACACACACACACACACACACACACACACACACACACACACACACACACGCACACACACACACACACACACACACACACACACACACACACACACACACACCACACACACACACACACACACACACACACACACATATTATTGTATATAGTTGAGTTTTGACAGCATCCATCAAACTAGATTGTTTGCCTTAATGGTCTGTTTGAATATTTCTGTGTTTATGAACCACGTCTGTGTCTGCATATAATGTTCATATTTAGTCTCCTGATTTTAAATGGGAATTCAATCATTTGAGTGTTCCCAAAGAACCGGTGTTCTGCAGTTTGTGTGGACCTACTGTACTGTTGCACAATTTATTGTAGAAACTATGTCCAGGACAAGGACGTTTTGGAAGATTCATAGCTAACCACACTGAAGATTATGGAGGTATTGATCAGTCTTCTCATATCTCTAACATCACCAGAATTTCTCAAATTGTTCCCCGTGTGGTTTATTCACCATTACAATAGCCCCACCTACAATCATTTCCACCAGCCGCCACTGGGTATACATGAAAAGCTGCAGTAAATATACAAAGAATAGACACTGAACATGTATTGCATGTGCCAGGTGTGATCCATGTGGGGGGATGGGCACATAAGAGCGAGAAGTGTGTCAAATTGTTCTGTGTGTGTTTGTGAGTGCCAGGTGTGATTCACATGGGGGGTTTGGGCACATAAGGGGGGGGGGACAAGAAGAAGATACACTTTATTAATCCCTTACAGGGAAATGTCTTTCCCCACTCTGTTGTGTTTACACACATTACACACACAGGGAGGATATACATGCACACACACAAAACCACATGCAGATAGGAAAGATAGAGCAGAGAGGCTGCCAGGTACCTGGGGCAGGGAGCAGTTTTGAGGTTAGGTGCCTTGCTCAAGGGCACCTCGGCAGTGGCCTTGGAGGTGAACTGGCACCTCTCCAGCTACCAGCTCACTCCATATCATTTTTGGTCCGATCAGGACGTGAACCAGCGACCCTTCGGTTCCAGGACCAAGTCCCTACAAACTGAGCCACTGCCGCCTCACATCTATGTGTGTGTGTGTGTGTGTGTGTGTGTGTGTGTGTGTGTGTGTGTGTGTGTGTGTGTGTGTGTGTGTGTGTGTGTGTGTGTGTGTGGGTGTTTGTGTGTGTGTGTGTGTGTGTGTGTGTGTATGTGTATGTGTGGGTGTTTGTGTGTGTGTTTTATCTGATCCGGATGGTTACTAATTCCTTTTCTTTATGACCGGGAACGCTATGGGTGTTACAAAGTTGACTAAATCATCCAAAATGTCAAATGTCTACTGTGAAGGATATCATAAAGCCTTAATGCAATCGAATGTAAAACAAAAAAGTTATGATTGATGAAAGTAGTAAATCGGTCAGATTTGACCCGAAGACAACAGGAGGGTTAAATGCTTCCTTTGCTTTTACCATAGGCTATAAGTCGGCTAGGAAGTTAAATGGTTCTTTTTTTGTATGTTTGAATTTTGTCAATTGTGGTTGCTTCCTACTTGGTTTTAGCTTAAAAACTACAGAATGAACATCATTGAAAGTCTGATCAACCACTCGTGGCTATGATTGAGTCCCAGCTGTTAAACACATACATGTATCTTCAATTAATTTGATTTAAATATGAATCATAATTTTAATATATTTATTCTTGTTGTATTATTTTTCCATCTGCTGTTGTTTAGTTCACTTGTTCTCTGTGCAAAGCACTTTGT